TACATGTGGCGTACTTTGTAAATTTTTCAAGCATTAATTTTCCTTGTGCATTTTTTTTTTAGGCTAACGGAAATGGTACAGTACTGCGCAGTGAAATTGTTGGTTCGGTGAAGATGCGTGTTTATTTGACGGGCATGCCCGAACTGCGACTCGGTCTCAATGACAAAATTCTGTTTGAAAGTAGCGGAAGTAAGTTTTTTTTTTTAAATATAAATTTAGATTTTACGAAGAACAGGCCACTAACTTGCGTTACTTTGTAGTAATTAATACAGCTCTTTTACGTAAGGTTGTAATTTTTGCTTTTTCGAGCGGGATAGTCGACCCATTTACGATTCGTTTATTTGTTTTGAGATGGTAAATTGGTGCTGGCATATATCACGGTGTCAAACTCGCCATTGTTTTTGTGCCTAAACAAGAAATGAGGTATTGGCAGCTTGTTAAATGGTGATTGTTGTTGGCATCTGTTACCGTTTGGACTGTTTCCGAGGGCGCGCTTATTTTTCACAGTGATTAAATAGAAGGGAGGTTTTGCCTTTAAAAAAAATACCATACTCTCGTTGAGTAAAATGATTTTAGTTTCAGTTTTTTCTAACTTTCAGAAATGGCCCCATCCATTCTTTAGTTTATCCAATTTTCTCGAAACTGACGCTCTGAGCTAAAAATTTGTGCATTTTGCTTTTTTTTACAATTTAATTCTCGCTCGTAGAGACATTTCGGCATTTTTTTTTTGTTAAATTTTATTACTTTTGGATCCGACCTTGTTCTTTTTCCGTAATTTACGAATTTGGCATCGAAAAGTGTCTCAATCTATGTTTTAGCAATATAATAAAGCATTACAGGAGGAAAGAATAAGTCCGTGGAATTAGAAGATGTGAAATTTCATCAATGCGTTCGTTTGTCTCGTTTCGAAAATGATCGCACAATCAGTTTCATTCCTCCGGACGGCGAATTCGAGCTGATGAGCTATCGATTGATGACCGTTGTCAAACCACTGATTTGGATCGAAGCAGTCGTTGAGAGGCACACACATTCCAGAGTCGAATTTATGATTAAGGTTGCAGACGCAAAAAGAATTCATCTTTTTTTTATCATGTTATAATCATGTTGTTTCACAATTGTCGAATTGGAAAAACGGGTTTCAAAAATAAGTTTTTATTTTTTCGATTCAAAACCAGGTAGGCTTAATAACGAGCACTTACGGAATTGTGATCTTAGCTGCAGAAAACTTACCGTTTGGTAACACTGCTGCTTCATTTTTCCTATTTTTTCATGCATTTTTTGCACCTATGCGATGCAAAAACGCATATTTTCGAACTGTTGTGTGTGTGTGTGTGCGTCTGTACCGATTTTTCATCTCAACACCCACAAAAGCTACAGGGCTGAGACTCATTCATTCGTTTTGTTTTTAGGCGAAATCGCAGTTTAAACGACGTTCGACAGCAAACAATGTGGAAATCATAATCCCGGTACCCAGTGATGCTGATTCACCGAAATTCAAAACTTCGATCGGGCAGGTGAAATATGCCCCGGAACAAAGCTCGTTTATTTGGACTATCAGGAGTTTCCCGGGTAAGATTTTTATTTGGTTTTTTATAAATTAGTGTATTTCACTGTCCACTCATAATGTGTGAAAGCTTTGTTAATTTCTACATGCGATCAAATGCTTTTTCGTAATCGATGAAGATAAATTCGAAAGTTAAGAGGAAAGGAGATATAAAAGACGATGAAATGAGAAAGATAGGGCTAGGGAAAAAGGACTGAAGAGGAGATAAGGGAGTGCTAATTTGCTCTTTATTGGAGGAAGAATCGCAATTATTGTTCAGGTGGAAAAGAATACTTGATGCGAGCACATTTTAATTTACCATCAGTGGAAAGTGAGGAGCGCGAAGGACGCCCGCCGATGAAAGTGAAATTTGAAATACCATATTTTACAACCTCAGGAATACAGGTATCACTTTTAAGAAAAATTGATCTGTTTGAGATTTTTAAAAAGTAACCCACAAGTACCCATAAGAGCAAATGACATTTGATAAAAGTAACGGAACCAATATTTACCGCATTTGAGAACGAAAAGTGAATTTCGAGGAGATATTTTTTTTCGATTTTTTTTGCGACCAGAGGTAATAATTGTCTGAGACAGCTGTGAAGAGATAAGCAAAAAATCAAGTACTTGCTCCATATTTCACTTTCTTTGGGAAAGGAACTCGAAAGTAGCCAAACTGATAGCATATTAGCAACAGTTGCCTGCTTGCAAAGCTGCACTTGTTGCCTGCAGAGCCTAGGGCTGCTTAGATACAATATGTTGTTAGTTCTACGGTTTTGGCGTGCATTTGTACTGTATATTTGGGGTAAACGGTCATTACAAATTGTGGGGTTTTCAAATCCGGACAACTTAAAATTCGAGAAAATGGATAGTGATATCGAAATGAATAGTAAAAGGATTGGTTTTTTTTTCAGACTGAGCCTTTTCGGGCTTCATTCGGTTCCACAAAATTCCAGTCCAGACACCTCATCGTCATATAGAAGTGGCAACAGACTAGATATAAATTCTGGCGGCTCTAAACATGTCAAGAAAACACTGTGCCATGTTTTATCTGGCTAAACTTGACTAGTACAAATTATTGCCAGATTACTTTGATTTAAGTAGTATTTTTGTGAATTTCAGGTTCGTTATTTGAAAATTATCGAAAAAAGCGGTTATCAGGCGTTGCCCTGGGTGCGATATATAACTCAAAATGGTGATTATCAGCTGCGCATGCTGTAATAATTATCACACACATGCAACGGCGGCTTCAAGAAGGATTATTAAAATCAAAAAAAAAGATATTGTTCGCCTACGCCACGGTCAGTAGATGTTTCAAAATAATTTTTGCTTTGGCTTATTTGCGAATTCACGGCCATGCTTATGTTCGATTGTGC